TTGTTGTAGAGAAGAGCGTAAATGGAGAAAATGGGCTGATGATGAACTGGTTCATGCACTTTCACCAAATGTGTATAGAACTCTTGATGAAGCTTATAATACTTTTAACTGGTTTTCTAAGGTAAATACTTTAATAATAGTTAAACAATAATATACTGTATAAACAAAAAACAGAACATAATGATTTCATAGTTAATCTATTATGTTGAACTTATAACAAAATGTGGACAATAATTTCTCTAATCAATTAGGTTGGAAACTGGGAACAATATTTTCCTACGTGGGAGAGATTAATAATGATAAACGTAGGTGCTACCGCTATGTGGATTATATCAAAACGGTTAAAAAAAAGACATAATCTGAAAGACGATGTACGACAATCTTTATATGATGAAATTAACAAATGGTTATGTGCTATAAAAAAACGTGGTAGCACATTTATGGGAGGAGAAAAACCTAATTTATCAGATCTTGCTGTTTATGGCATTTTGAAAAGTATAGAGGGGTGTAGTGCTTTTAAAGATTGTTTAGATAATACAAAACTTAGTACATGGTATGATGCCATGATGACAGAAATAGAAACACGTTCAGGAAGCAAATACTTAACAGCTAAATAATTTAAATATATCAATTTCTTTTAAATTGGCTTGTATTATTTATTTCAATTTTAGTAAGGTTATTATTTTATTTTATGATTATACTACTACTAAAGATTAGATATACAGTTGCACTTTATATCTTGTCATAATTGTATAGTATGAAATATTAATATCTTTACAATAATAATAAAGAAATCTAATTAAATCATAAGCAATATACATTCGGCGGCAAAATTAAAAGATCACGAAATTTTCGTACAATAATCTGCCTAGGTTGATTTTGAAGAGCAAAGCCTCTATTTTCATCTCGCTACGTTGATTTTCCTCGAAAATGTTTTTTCACCAGAAGAGAAGCGGGAAGATGAAGGTGTTCTTTTTTCGAAAATTTTACAAAATCAAACGACTGTACAGAGTTCAGAAATTTTTTTTCTCAACTCAAATCACCGTGATTTTGAAAATTAAGATTTCCCCTTTATAAAGACTCCTTAAAAGTTGATGTGCGATTTTATGTCGCCGTTTTATTACACTTTGAATTAAAAGTGCGCTGCCTGGATTCTAATGCCGACACATTTTTCATTCAAAATGCAATAAAACGACGACAACAAATTGTACATCAACTTTTAAGGGATCGTTGCACAGAGGAGGCCTAAATTTTCAAATTCGTGGTGATTTGAGTCGAGAAAACAATTTTTTAAACTCTATACAGTCCTTTGATTTTATAAAATTTTCGGGGAAAAAAAACGTCTTTACTTTCCCGCTCCTCTTCCCGATGGAAAAGCATTTTCGAGGAAAAACCACTTAGCGAGGTGAATGTAGCAACTTTGCCCTTCAAAATCACTTTAGGCGGATTATTGTACGACTTTTCTTCACAATGTTATAACAGTTCAAACATTGATAATTTTCGATGAAAATTTCATGATTCTTTAATTTTGTCGCCGCGTGTATTTGTCGCCGAGTGTATTTATTTAAAACAAAAATTTTAATTTAATGTAAGATGGATATTAATAAAATGCACTTACATTTGAACTGCAAAAACTAATACTTTATAATTTTATTCTGATAACTTTTTTGACATTTTCTATATCAGTACACTTAGATATTAAACAAAATGCTCATCCAAACTCTGTTTTCTTTATATTGGATGATGAGTTTATAACTGCTTAGGTTCTTGACTTAATACTGCTCGTACAGTATAATTAGAGGCATCTATGTTGAAACAAGAAAAGATTGTGTGAAATTTGGAAACTGTAACAATGGTTCCAAATAGTGATATCTCGTAATTTTTCGAAAGCAATTTAGGTTGCATCATTCTAAAGAAAGGGGACATCTTCCTTTAAGATTTGTGTAAGAGGTTTTGTAATTTTGACCATATCTTTAAAAAATCGGCTATAATACTATAGGATACCCCTTTAACGACTCGATAGGATACCCTTTAACGACTCGAACTTTTCCAGGATCTGGATTTACACTTCCATCAATATGTTACACCAGCATTTTGTAATCTAGCTAACAATGGTTTTAATTTCCGAGAATGTTCCTCTAAAGAACTTGCATATATAACGGTATCATCCATATGTATAAATAAAGAGCTCAACACCTTGTAAGCCTGATAATACTAAATCCATACATTTTTTAAAGGTGGCTGGGGCATTTTTGAGACCGAATGGCATTTTATTGAATTCACAATGCCCATTAAGAGTTGAAAATGCAATTTTTTGTTTTGAATTAAGATCGATAGGAATTTGGTGAAATTCGGATGCCAAATCAAAAAAGTTTTAAAATATTTTGCACCACCAAGCTAATTAAAAATGTCTATAATATTAAGGAAGATTTAAGCGTCATTAACAGTTTGCTCATTCAATTGACGATAATCGATTGATTATCATTCTCCAACGCGGTTTACCAGAAGGATCGGGTTTCTTAGGAACTACATATCCAGATGGGGGAATTATATGGAGAATTTGATGGCTGTATTATGTTATTTTCCAATAAAGATTGAACTTAACCTTTTATTTCGTCTTTATGTATTGATAGTAAACGATATTGTTTTTTCTTTATAGGTATCTCGTCTATTGTTATGATAATATGTTGAGTAATATTAGTAGCACCTAATTTGTCTGTAGTGTTACGTACGCAGCCGATCCGAAACGTAGGCGCTGAGTGTTTAGTCTACCGCGCATCGCCCCGAATAGCGAAAGGGTTAGGACACGAAATGAGCGCATTCTGTTCCCACGGAATCAGCCCTCCTTATAGCCCCCGAAATACATTTTTCGGGGTATATAAAGGGTTAAGTTTTGACGCTTGGGGGCTTCATCAGATTCGAGTTTGAACCTTTGAACACATTGGACGTGTAGAACAATCGACACGCACATCAATCTAACCTCCACCGAACCTAGCCAACCGATTAACATTCACAGTACTGTATTCAACAGTAGTACAAAAATCTTATAAGTATATACAAAACCACCCAAAAACCATACACCATACACATATAACAGAGTGAACCGACATGAAGAAACACTGAGGAAGCCCAAAGAAGTCTAATGCCTTTTTTTTTTGTTTCACATGGGAAA